AAAAAAAAAAAAAAAAAATTATCACCGCAAAAAAAAATATGCTCTCAACAATCTTAATTAAATATGGTTAGTAGTGCATTCTATGTAATTTGATTCTTTAACTTTATTAAAATATGTTTAGCATGTATTTACTGCATTTACCTTAGCAACGCGATTTTTTATTCTTCTTGGTATAAGCCGTTTAGCTCTGTCACACTTGAATTTCTCAAAATTTTCTTTTTGGGGTATTTTCATACTGATTTTTAGCTTCAGTCCCCCCTGAAAATTTTAAATGATTATAATTACAAAAGCTTTAAAATTAAAATTAATAGTAATAAGACTTTTAATATTGTATTACCTGTTCAAAATTTGTTTCTCGAATAGAAAATGTCTGCTCACTGTGATTGGATGTACAATCAGTATTTGAGTCACTGTCACCATCAGTGCTATCAATGTCTGAATCAGAATTGGATTCTGAACAGGAACCACTACCATCGCTTCCACCAGAAGTTTCATCATCTGAATCAGACTCACATTCTGAGTGCAAAGTCGTTACACCTGTATGAAAACATCTTTGAGAAAAACAATATAGGTCTCATTTTGTAATGATTTATTTGCATCAAGAGGTAAAAAGCTTTCGTATTACGTAGAAACATGAAGTAATTCTTTAACTACTGTAAAACTGGCACGAATACTTTAATTTTTTGACTCTATGATACAAATCTTCTATAAAATTTTTAATTGAAAATTGAATTTTCAAATTAATGAAATTGGTTTAAATTCAATAATTTTAAAAACTCTATAACATAGAATAGACTAAGGGCTTAGGTATGTTAATTGTCTCTAGATACCAGTGACTGGGTTCCAACTGCCACCATCCTTAATTGCATCCATGTCAACTGTGGATGGAAGTTCACGCTCTGGTTCACCATCATTACTATCCCAATCCCAATTTTGTAACTCCAGCTCCGATGGATGATGGATAACAGCATTCCAACCTGAGTCACCCGACATCTTCTGGCTTACTTCATACCCACTACTTTAATGTAATATTTACATGTCACTTCAAAGACTGTTGGTTTTTTAATTCTATTTTAACTAAAATGTCTTTAAACACAACTGCACTCTATTTACATAACTCTTATATTTGCACAATTGTTATGTTAGATCACATTAGGGCTAATTGCTGATAATTAAGCTAGGTATAATAAAATAATGAATACATTAGTTCATTGTTTAATGTTTCAATACATCTAAAAAAAAAAATTAGTCGATAGTAATAATATGCTTTTGCAATATAATTTTTATAGCTGTCGATTATGATAAGGCATTTTTTTTACTTCATGCATTGTTGTCAATCAAAATTAATTAATAATATTTACTGCAACGAAAAAGAAAATGTATTTTTTCAAGTCATACCATAGCTCTTCTGTTCCTATGGAACACAATTACCACTATTTCATCAAAGTATGTAAATATTTGTAACTGATAACTGAATTTTACAAAACATACTCATCTGTGATTTAATCAAACTATGAATATAACTGATGACTTATCGACACATCATATAAGTTTGTCATTAAGGCACTCATATTAAAGTACTTAGCAGATTTACTATAGAATTATAAGATATATGATATCAAAATACTGTACAGAGTATAGATTAGATAAATCTAGAATAGTGAAGCAATCAACTAAGGCTAGATTCTAGCATATAAATAAAATTTCGTGCACGTAAACATCAAACACGCACGTAGGACTTGATTCGGATATGCAGAGTGTTAGCATAGCGCCAATTTTTATAACCATTACAGGCATCATTCTACATTAGAATTAGATACATCCAATTAGGTAGAAATTATAAAAACTGTCCTGACAACTATAATAAATAAAAAATATCCAATGCAGAGCACATAGAAAAAGTACAAGATACCATCGTCTTACGATGCCTTTTATTCAACAAATTAAAACCCAAACTATAATTCTCAAAACGTGAACAACAATTCCACCTACTTAGATGTAAAACAATGAAACAGCAAATGCATAAGAACGACTAACCAGAGGTGATCGTCCGTACTATAATATATACATCTTATGGGCCTTAATTCTAAAGTCACGATGACAGAACAAGTACTTATGTAGATCTCAAAATTCTACAAATTCACCAAAACGTCGTAAGATGAGTAAGTCGTAAGCATAGTGTAAGATGTACAGGGTACAGGTGGTCCAATGGTCCCATGTAGGCATAATTTTTGTGAAATATTTGTGCTGTTTCATTCAAGTTTCAACAGATGGCGAATAAGAGTCAAATACCATAAAAAATTTTTTTTTTATGTGAAAGTTTCACAGTGAAACATCTACAGCGTTGGGTTAGGAGGAATCTGGATGATTCAATATCGGAACTTTTTCCCTAGATCGTATATATAGCTATATGATCTAGGGAGAATGTTCCGTCGAGCAGACAGCACGGCAGTGAAGGGGCATTGCCAAAGACACGCGGAAATTAAAAATTGTAATATTAATAACACAAGCGCCCATCACCCGATGACCCGCGGCGCTTACTGGTCGCTTTATTAAACGATAAATGTTATTAATTAATAGCACAACGGTCATCAGGTGATAGGTGCTTGTGTTAATAATTAATACTTTATTATTTAATAGAGTTGCCAGTAAACACCCCGGGTCATCGGGTGACAGGCGCTTGTGTTAATAATTAATACTTTATTATTTAATAGAGAGGCCAGTAAGCGCCCTGGGTCATTGGATGATAGGCACTTGTGTTAATAATTAATACTTTATTATTTAATAGAGAGGCCAGTTAGTGCCTAGGGTCATTGGGTGATAGGCGCTTGTGTTAATAATTAATATTTTATTATTTAATAGAGTGGCCAGTAAGCACCCCGGGTCATTGGGTGATAGGCACTTGTGTTATTGATGTTACAATTTTTAATTTTCGAGCGTCTTTGGTAATGACCCTTCACTCTGTGCTGTCTGCTCGACGGAACATTCTCCCTAGATCGTATAGCTATATATACGATCTACGTCACGCCATTACATTCGGAGGAAATTGAAAAATGTTCGTTATTCAGTGATAGCTCTACTTGGATAACTGTTGAGTGAGAGGTCAAGGATAATGGCTAATAGAGAAGACGGACGAGTATAAGAGATTCCTCCAGAAATTAATGAAATCGTCGCCTTGGAAGAAATAATTGGTGCTGACAATGACGCCCTGGGTGTGCCCGTTGACGAAGCCCCTGAAGAAGTAGTCGATAACAATCCTTTACCACCCGCTGCCGCAGAACATCAGCAGGTGCCGATCGCTCAAGGACCTGGTGATCAAGGTCACCACGAGAGGTTACCATTGCACTTGTGTATCCACAATGGGCGAGCGTTTCACGTAAGCCGTTACAGCCAAAATCTGATGTAAGTACATTTCATACAAAGTAAACTCGCGTTTGTAATTGTTCGTAGTTTTGAAATGAATTTTTTTGTTATCCTTCGTTTTTTCGTCCGGGCTATTGCCCTTAACATTAAATTTTATGTAACTTGCATAAATTGTACAAGTAATTGAAACAATATATATATTTATCTATTGTTTATACTTCTTTAATGATACGAAAAATAATGCATTTTCATGCATTTCACGGAACTCAAAAAAAGACGATTTGTTCCTTGGTCTCTGCCTCTCTCTCTCTCTCTCTCTCTCTCTCTCTCTCTCTCTCTCTCTCTGTCTTGGTTTAATACTGTAGAAAATATCAATATTATAAAATCTTTGTACTTCAAAAATTGCCATTCGGGTGTAATGCCCTTGGCATAAATAAATAGCTTTCAAATCAAAAAAATCGAAATTTCTCTCTCTCTCTCTCTAGACTGGGAGCCAAGCAAAATTCTCTTGGCAGCCGACAAGCCGACGCCAACGTGCCGAAGTACACAGTGCTCAGTTAGTGACCGGTCACATTTGCCTCGGCTGCCGAGCAGATTCTGCTTAGCTCCCAGGCTAACCTAGATTGAAAGTAGCTGTTTGGGTCGACAAGCTACAGGTAGCCGTGGAGCCAAGCGATACTGGCCGTTTTTTTTTTTTTTTTTAGTGTATTAGAGTGTTGCTGCACTGAAATAACGGATAATTTTTTTTGACCTCGTATGTTTTCGTATCTGATTTTTTTTTTTTTTTTTTAGAATAATTTACCGCGACAACAATAGTATGTAAAGTGATGTGCATAATTCGAGTAGCTCGGAAGTTTGTTCCAATAGAGATGTATACTAGCGGGACACTGATTCGTAAACCGCCAATTTGGAATTTTTTTATGTATTTTATGAAAAAAATAAATCTTTATACCACAACATGTAAGCTCTCACATATACTCAGCTATTTTTTAGGTTGCAGTTATTATTTTTTCATCATTACTCTGAGGTTCAGGTTGATTTTTGTATTTTAATGTTATTCAAAATTACAATTATTTGAATTTTGCGGTTTACGAATCAGTGTCTGGGTAGTGTATATATATATTCCCCAACAAAGGGGGTACCGAGATATCAAAAAAGCAATCGCGCTATTTAGTTGATTAACTCTTCTTATTAAGCGTACTTTTATTAAAAATCATAAATTTAGTAACAATAATATAAAATATCTTAAAAAATAATAAATAATGCATCTTAAAACTTTTTTTTCAGTCCAGGTTATATATACACATGTAGATTTAAATATATTTTAATAAAATATAAACATTTTCCAGCTATTTGCGTTGTGCTAATCATGGATTGTGCCTCGCCACTGCTCGACTTAATCCCAATAGTTTGGACGAAGAGATGGTACTTGTGCGTCCACACTTTCATCAATGCTAAGTGCACCAGGAAAACGTTCAAGTTCAGCTGTTCAAAGCAGCTTTGCGAAATGCCCTACAACATCATTGGTATCAAATCAGGCCTTTATATGGTTCTCTTGCTCTCGTGTAAGTAAATATTGACATTAATCAGCAGACATCTGCCCATACGGGGTATTTTCCCGCAACCTTAGCTTTGCATTAATGATAAAAGCTAACAAGTTTCTTCATTAATTATTTTTGTTCTTTTCTCTTTCTAACTATTTTCCCTTGTTAAGTTATCAGTAAGACGGAACCGTCAATATTTCAGATAAATTTTTTTTTTTTTTTTTTTAAGATATAATGAAAATGTTTTCTTTTGTCAAAACATATTTTTTTACAATTTTAGTATAATTTAGCAATAAAGATAAATAATTACGTACCTCAATAATTATGAAAAAAAAATCGTTGATAGGTATCCCGAGGCAGCATCTTCCGTTTCGTTTATTTCACTACGAACGAGCTTGTTAAGGTGGCGACGAAATTCGTTTTCCCCTAATCCGAATAACTTACTCGAATTGGGTAATTTATTGTTGGAACGCCATGATGCAGGAATTTTGGATTACTACAGATGTTGGATGAGAAGTTCTATTATTCACGATGCTGATGGCCAAATTCACGTTATATTCAGCGATATTGATTTTCTTCGAGTTGACATCAACAATATTACGTGCCTCATTGTAGATGCTACCTACGAGAGCCGGCCAAATGTGGTCGGTTGCACACAGCTCCTCACTATCATGGGCGTGAAGTACAACCACGTAATTTTTATTATGTTTTATTAAATGCTTAAAAATAAACAATACAAAGTTGAAAATCTTTTTTTTCCCCAGGCCGTTCCGCTCTTCTATTCATTGATGTCACGTCAAATTCGAGCGGCTTACATTGCATGTATTAACGCTTTCTACGAACAGCTGAGACACGCTCTGATCGACCTTATTCTTACGGACTTTGAGGTGGCTTTGAGGCAGGCATGCAATTCCGTTTACCCGAACGTACGAATTGCAGGATGCAATACGCACTATTCCAGAGTTGGTTGCCAATAATTAATTAAAAAAATAATAAGAATAATTAATATTATTATTATATTTATAATATTGTAGGCAATAATGCATAATCTACGAGAGCTCCGGTTGGATGTGCTCATGAGAGAAAATGAAATGGTATGCCGGTATTTAAGACAATTTTTAGCTTTACCCTATCTTCCTGCTGCTGAAATCGGGATTAATGCTCGCATGATAGCATTACAAGTTCCAGCAAACTTTCGGGACGAAATTGAGTCATTTCTGGCTTACTTTGAACGAAAATGGTTACTTGGTGTAAAGCCAGAAGGTTTCAGCATCTTCGGCTTAGAACGCAGGACAACCAATGCTGTCGAAGCATTGCACGCACGCTACGTACGAATTCTAGGCCGAAGACCATCTGCTTGGAACTTTATTGGTAAGTTT